AGGGGGGCGAGAGCCCCTGAAGAATAGGGGGCGAGAGGCAGAAGAGGAAAGGGCGGGAAGTGGGAGTTCTACAAAGGCAGGAATCTTTTATTAAGCATAAATTAAAATACTTTCGAAAAAAGAACCCAAATATTTTTTGACTTACATTAGCTTATTTTGTAACTTCTGAAAAAAAGAAAAGAAACGCCAAAGGATTGCGCATCTAAATGACAAGCATGTATTTTGAGACTCCTTACTAACAGAGGATGGGGGCCAGCAAGCGGGAGAACCAGGAGGTCCTGACCTCTTCCCCCCCCCCCACCCTGGCCGTGACATGTCCCTGCAAAAATCAAGTGGGGTGGCCATTTTGGTGTCCTTACAGGAATGTGGATTTTTCTGCATATAACCATGCACAGGAAAACCAACTCTACAAAGCCACAGGTAAAAATTAGACTTTCGTTCTTTGAACACAATAAATGGAACAAATAGAGCTACAGTTGCATTAGAAAGCTTATAGGGGTCCTTATGATGTAGCTAACAGAGTTAATAATCTCCCACTCCCAGTAAATAGTCTCGGACAAAGTAAATGACATGTGACGAAATTGACCNCTGTAGAGTGATAATCTAGTGTAGTGTAAGACTAAAGAGCAATGTATCAAACTATTCTACAAATAAAACTTAGCATGGACTTAAGTCCAATTACCTTATACACAAGCTGTCCCTTTGGTCGAAAGTATTTTCAAGATCCTACCGGCCAGAGGGACAAGGCAAAGGAAGTTTGAATTCAGGGATCCGCCGAACCAATAAAAAATTTCGTTCTCAAGGAAAGACGTCTATAAAAACTCTTGTGCCTATTATAAGTTAAAGACGTCTACAGTGTAATGCGTTAGCCGGCGTACAAATTTACAGTTAACAAACTAGACGGGAAGAGGCCTACAGAAATAGAGAGCATTTGCCGAACAATTCACTGCTTTACTCTCTAAAACATTATTCTTAACATGTCAGCTGAATAAAAACGTACCTGTCCAGCTGATCAACGTAGTTTTACCACTGGCAAAATTCGCATATTATGTGGTTGGCATAATCTACCATATTGGTATAGCCGACAATAATATTATTTCCGAAAACTGCTCGACTCGGAAACTCGCTCCTAGTACTCCTCGGTTGTCCTTCTGAGCGGTAGGATTTAGGCACAAGTCAAAAAGTGTTAGACATTAGACATGTCTGCCACGTATCAGACTCTGACGCTCGTAATTTGCAACAAAGGGAGTGACAAAAATAGTCGACTGCAAACTACAGGTTTTCATCGAATGCGAAGTTAGATCAGGAAGCAGATTGCACCCTTAACCACTATACCAGACTAACGGACCGCTGAGGTGAGCCTTTGAACGAAACAAGAAAGTAAACAAGCTTAACGGGAAGAAGTGGTTGCTGCTTGCATTGAACGACCGATTAACCGGATCACGATGCAACGATGTCTGAGCGGAAAAAATATCATGTTCGAGAAATTCCTGGAATCGCTCGAGGTTTGCCAAGATAACGGGATGTTTAAGAAACACGATAACCTTGTCTGAATAGCAATTCACTATTTTGAGGGAAGAGGGGATTTTATCAAAGCTTTCGTCTTGAAGATAAAATCAGCAACCTACCGATATAACTGGAAACAGGCTAAGAGACTGCTTGTTTCGGTTATAACATCTCACCTTCCAGTCGAATATTCGGATGTCATAAAAGCAATAGCCTACTACTCACTTGTGGGTCACATGAGAAGAAAAGAAAGATACAGAAAGTCAAAAACAAATCAGTTGTTAAAACTTCTTAAACGTAGCGAATATCTATGCGCAATTACGACTTGCCTGAGAATTGGGCTGAGCTCTACCTGAACTACGGCTGCGTTTGGATGGATTACATGAGCAATCTTCCGCTTGACAAGAGAAAAGTTGTACTAGAGATAGTGATGGAGTGCTTTCGCACAGCCATCTGTTACAGCAACCAAGATCATCGGAGGAGAGTTCGGATGAAAATACAAAGCCAGGTCCACCTCATGGTTGTAATGATATACCTAGATTATTATTCAAACTTCGCACTGGCTCAAGAAAACCACATTCCACCAAATGATATTAAAGAAGCTGAAAACCACCTTCGCATTATCCAGTCCAATTTCAGTGACACTATCCCCATGGCTACAAGGATCCTTCTTATGAAGACCCAATCAGATCTGTTTTATCACAAGGGACAATACCAACTAGCCAAAGAAAAGGCTGAGGATGCTTTCAAGTGCGCTTCCCGCCTTGGCTTCAACACAGAGTTGAACACCTTGCAAGAAAGAATAGATTTCTGTCAAAAGAAACTTGAAACAGTATGCGACCAGATATTGTCAGGTAATTTGTTGTAATCAGGGCTGGGTTGTTCAGAAATTGGGTTAATGCTAATCCAGGAATAAAAGTTGACCGAAGTATAAATTTATCTTCTATCAAAGTGTTTTTTGCTCGTTTAGGGTCAGGACTCCTGGTATGGTTAGAGATTATTCAAAATCAAAACAGAAGGCCGAAATGTAAACAGAAAACCTCACCGCAAAGTTACAAATCTCAGATCAAAATTTTTGTTTATTCTGGGTTAGCTTAATCGGGTTTTGAACAAATTGGCCCAGGAGCTCAGCCTTTAGGCTTGGCCAAATCTATTAAAATATTAGATTATGAGCTTGAGATTTCTATCGCGTGATACATGTAGTTGACAAGGCGCAACCCGAGCCAACTGTCATGCATAGAAATCGAAAGCGAATAATCTAGTTGTTTTAGTATAAATCTACTAGTCGTTCAAAACTTCATCTAAATCCTCTTCACAGACACCTCGAAAACGCCAAGAAGTGGCTGTCAGTTTGTTAACAAGGCCTCACTGCTATGCTACTTGCCATCTATCACAGAATAGATAGTGAGTTGTGTAGCCAATCAGAGGATGGCATTCGTGATAGAACGCTAGTAGATTTATACTAAATAATAATTATGATATTTGTGCTGTGAGTTGTGGCAGTGGTCCTTGGTTGAATGATATTCCCTTTCACTTCAAATGCATCCTTAAGTCCCTCACACTCGCAAAAGTCGTATACATGTATATTTGCCCTGTTTGTTTTGGTTGTGTCCCCCAGTTGATGTTTTCGAAGATTATAGCACTCTTCAGGATACACAGCAGGAAATTGAAGGTATACTGCAAATCAACCAAGACACAAACAAGGTGGTTAAGGAAGTTTTCAAAACTCAACAAGAGGTACTTCTGAAGCAACAAGAAACTGCTGAAAAAGTACACCAGACCCAACTAGAAGATTGTGACACACTTCAGGATAGTGAGTTAAAACTGTAGTATCAATGCCTAAACTAAACTCCCCACGTGTGCCACATATCTGTAACACGTGACAGATTTCCGTGACTAGAAAAATATCTCAAGAACTTTGGCCGAGTTTGGATATGGTAAATATCCAATGGTACCTTTTTTGTAATGCTTTGGCGACATTTCAGGCCCATTAGGTCTCGCCATGGGTATTTTGAATACGTTTCACCAGAATACAAACTTAGGCCCAAACTCGCCTAATATGCCACCAAAACTTACCAAAAAGGTTCAGTTGAATAATTATTAATATTTGCACAGTTAATTGTGGCAGTGTCCCTTGGTTGAATAATATTCTCTTTTTTTTCCTCACGCTTGCAAAAGTCGTGTACATGTACATGTATATTTGCCCTGTTGTTTTGGTTGTGTCCCTAAGTTGATGTTTTCTTTTGTCTAAAATGGGTCATTTAGGCGCTAACACTAAATGAACCTGTTATCAAACGTACTGGGTCGAAAACAGTCCTAAAGATGCACACAAGCCGTACAGATTGTCAAACCATTTAACCACCTTGCCCAAGTAAGACGTGAATTATTTTCTAATTACAATCATTTGCATTACCATCAGATAATAGTTGATAAGGCAGGAGATCCTGCAAGCTCAGTTGAGCATTTTTTAAAAGATCTCCACGGTATTATTTCACTATTAATATGTAATTAAATACATATTTAAACTGATTGAAAGAATTTGATATTTGGTCAACTATAATATAGTTCAATCATGAAAGCGTTTTGCAGAAATACTTTCAGGTGTAATTATTTGAGCTCTGTTTGGTCCTTTAATGCATAATGCATAGACTGGATTTTAATGTTAAATATGATACATTTTAATCCACATTCATTAGTACCGCAAGAGATCCAAGCCCAGGGCCTTAGGGCTGAAGCTGCCTTTAAAGAAGCCATGGAAAAAGGAAGTGTAGAAGTTTACCATGGTCGTA